AATTACTATTATTGCATTATTACTTTTGATATTATAAAAAAATAAAACAAAGTATCCTAACATTAAAAATCGATTGGATAAATATTAAAATTAATTATTGTACACCGCGGGGGAAAAAAAAAAGAAAAGAAAAAAAAACAGATTATCGGATAAAAAGAATCTGTTTCTTATCCAAAAGATAAAAAAAAAGAAAAATAAAAAGAACGCTCTAAACCTAATTGAATTATATCAAAAGATAATGACTTACCAAAGTAATACGTTTCACGAACTAATTAGTTTGCCCAACTTTTTGATTTACAATTCTTTTTCTCTCTCTCTCTCCCTGGGGGTAGCAGAGAGGAGGGGATAGAAAAAAAGACAAAAGAACGTAAGAAAATTCCGCAGGAAAAAACCAAAAAAAAAAAAACACAAAAAAGGGAAAGCAAAAAGCTGCCCCTCCTCCCTACCGCATCGAAAAGAACGTAAAAATTTCAATTGGATTCTGGTTCAATTTAAGCACCCTCTGATTTCTTCGTTACGTTCCTGATTACGAACTTTTCTCTCTCTCTCTTTCTTACTCGTATTCACCCTGGCACGTTTGTCGAGGGGAAAGGAAAAAACATAGGAAAAGATTTTCTTTAGGGAGGGGTGAAAAAATAAAAAGGTAGAGCAAAAGTAAAAAAAGGAAAACAAACACACTGAACTCGTCAAGGTTCCTCGTCCACCCACCCATCCACCTGTGTCCCATCCTAAATAAAAAATAAAGAAAATAAAACGGATAAAAACGAAAGAGAATTGAAAAAAAGAAGAACGCAAATAAAATAATAAAATTTGAGCAAAGTATGGGGGAGTGGGGGTGGGAAGTTAGAATGAGAGAAGAAATCACGACAATCCGAGCTCGGAGCAACCTAATTCGTACGTGTTGGTGGCGTTCGTGGAATAATTAATCCCCTAATCGCGAAAACACCGAGATAGGGGATGGGGTTGGTTGGTGCCACCCCCATAAGAGTAGCGCTTAAAAAGCAATCTCGTTGCATGGCTTGCGGTATGAAAATTATTATACTCTCTAGTACGGAGAGACTGTCCCTTGTAAGAGGAAAAAAGAAACAAAAGAAAGAAAGAATAAAGGGAGAGAAAGAAAAAGCTAAATATAATAATTTATAAAAAGAAAGAAAGAAAGAAAAAAACAAAAGTAATTAAAAATAGTGAGATGGAAAAATAAGTTGGCTGGTTTTAAAGAGTTATTATAATATCTTTAGTATATCACTTTCAATTAGTATGATAACAGAACACAACACTAACGATGTTTTGTAGTACTAATAATATTAATAATAAGATTGGTTAGAGTTAAAAATAATTGTATTTGAGAACTTATTGTACTATAACTGTTACTATACTAATAGCAAAATCACAACTGTACTACAGCATCAGAATGTTAACAGTAATACAATTAATAGCATCAACAATATTAGTAATAACATTAGTTAGTAAAAAATAGATGGATCAAAGAAATAACTGTACTATTATTATACTAATAGACGCATAACTTCTAATATACTACAGCATCAGAATATTAAYAAYAACACAAATAATATTAACACCATTGATTAGTACAAAATAGCTGAATCAAAGAAATTAATATACTATTACTATACTAATAGATACATTACTTCTAATATACTACAGCATCAGAATATTAACAATAACACAAATAATATTAACACCATTGATTAGTACAAAATAGCTGAATCAAAGAAATTAATATACTATTACTATACTAATAGATACATTACTTCTAATATACTATACAGCATCATAATTTTAACATTAACATAAATAATATTAACACCATTGATGAGTAAGAAATAATTGGATCAAAGAAATAACTKTACTATTATTATACTAATAGATGCATAACTTCTAATATACTACAGCATCAGAATATTAATAACAACACAAGTAACATTATTAACAGTAGTAACAATATTGATTAATAAGAAAATGGAACAAACAAATAAGAAGAAAAGAAAGAAAGAAAAAAGGGGAATCACGTAGACTGTAAAATATGAGAACTATTAAATGTACTTTACCATGTGCATTACAGTCAAAACTGTGTTTAAATAATTCAAGTAAATTCTTATTTCTTTTACACACAAATACCAGACACATACCTATGCACACAAACAGTATTCATATTGTTCTATTATTTATTTTTATTTTACGTTTACTTATTCCTGTAAAATTTAAAGATCTAAATTAACAATAAGTAAGTCTGGTCACGTTATCGATGTAACTCTCTCTCATGTCTCAACCTGTTGTTATAAATTTGTGAGAAAAAGAAATATAGAAAGTAAAATAGAAATAAAATCATTTATTTAGATTCGAATGATAAAGTTCGTGTTAGTATAATAAGAAATATTTTTTAGTAAATTGACAATACGATTTATTGTTAGAATATGTGGCTGACATTATTCTAAAAATATTTATGCATAAAATCTTTTTTAAAACTTTCTCTCTCTCTCTCTCTTTCTTTCTTTTTTACTTACTCATTCACATACAAATATACTTTCTTTCTCTATCTCACAGATACACACACATGCACACACATGTTACTTATACATTTATAATTTCTTACTTATTCTTTCTTTCTATTTCTCCTAACAGACAGAAAACCCTTTTTCAATTCTTTCTTACTTCTTCCTTTTTTATACATTTTTTTCCTTTTTTAATTAATTTCTATATCCCCACCCCCCACCTATACTCCACTTCACTCTACTTTAGTGAAGTATATCAGGTGGATACCTGCCAAAAAATATGAGACGAGTTTCTTTTCAACAATTCAACTTTTTTACTTGACTGTATTTACTATTACTATGCTATATCTTTGGTATACTTTAGTATAATTCTGCCATCCTTTTCCTATTAAGATATTTTATCTGCAAGTATCTAACGAAACGTTTAAAAACAAAAAGGAAATGAAATAAAAAATTAAAATTATATTCTTACAACGATGTGAAAATGTAGGAAAATATGGAAGGAGAAGGAGACGAAGGGAACACAAAAAAAAAGGGATGTAAAGAGAAAATTGTTATTATTCTTTTTTTACTTTTTCTGTGTTTTTTTTCTTTTTTTTAAATCAAATCATGCGAGACGGCAAGATAATTTTGTATTATATTCTTGTTCCCTTTTCGTTTTTTCAAGATAAGCGGTTTCGTTTTCCTGCGAACACAAACCAACTGTCTCGAGAGAAATTTCTACAATGGAAAATTTAACGAATTATAATTAAAGCTAGCGAGTAAATGAAAGGAAAATAACGTGTCGTTTCTCTCAGTCGTAGTAACAATTTACGTTTAACGAACACAAGAGAGAAGAGTTAAAGAAGAAAATTAAAATTCAGAAAAGAAAAATGGTTCATGCGGGTTACTCAAAAAATGAACCAACCGTGATTATCAAAAGTGTTCTAACTAAAATCATATGACTTTTGTTTTAAATCATTTCTTTAGTTTCTTTTCTTTTCTCGAATAATGAAATCATTTTAAATCTAATGAAAATCATTTTACATTCTAATAAAACCAAAAAAAGAAAAACAAAAGACATTTCAAACATCATTTTTAAAATCTTTTTATATTTCGCGTTCTGTCAAGTAGATTATTTTTCTTTTGTCATCGCATGAAAAATTGAAAATCGAAGTTCGTACTTTCGTCATATTTATGCTTTTTTTTTATTATAGTTAGAGTAATGCAATACAAGAAGAAATAAAATTAGAGATTATGTCGAACAAACACTAGAATCCAAATAAGTTTTTGATGTTACTTTATAGTAATTTTGATTCGAAATATGCATCAAATTAAGGGTGCACCCAATTAAAGGGGATGAGGGGATAAAATAAAGACAATCGGTGGATGCTGATTGTCGAATAACAAAAATCTGATAAATCGAATTTAATCAAATTTTATTGTCCCTAATTATTCAAAAAATTCGGAATTTTAGATACGAAAAAAACAAATTCTTTAATTAACATTTAATCTCTCGCCCCACCTCTCGAAATTACTTTCCGAACAATAATCAAATGAATCGAACGATGAAAAAATCTTCTTAAAAATATGTTCAGAAAAATTAAGTGAAACAAAAGTATAGAATGCATGTAAAAAAAAAAAGAAATTTGAGACTTTTGAGAAAAAGAATTTTGACTTACAAACGATCAGCAAAATCGAAGGATGCTCTTCACCACCATCGTACTTCCCGCTCAGGAATAAAAACCATTGCCATGGGTCTACTCTGATCCCATATCTGAAAAAGAAAGAAAGGAAAAAAAGATTAGAAAGAATAAAAAAGAAGAATCTTAATAAAAAAGAAAAGAAAATAGAGAGTAATTTTAATATACACGTAAACGCACGTATATATGTGTGTGTGTGTGTATTTGTATGGGTGTCGAAATGAAAACGCGTCTTTCGTTATTATCGTCCGACGTTTGCCCTTCCACCCCCTTCCAAACCCTTACACCAATCCTTACTTTTACCCCTATATACACTTTCAACCCCCAACCCTTCTTAGTCTGCCCCCCCCTCTTTCTTTTTCTTCCTCTTCCTTTTTTTTTCCTCGTTCATTCTCGTTCTATCTGCAAATGCGTGTTTAAACGAATGCCTGCAGCCTTACAACCAACAACCAACAACAACTACAACTTACTACTACAACTACAACGACGTTTGCTGACATCAGTGATGTCGGCACGGGCCGAAGGGCAAAGGAGTTTTTATTAACGTCCGTTTTTTCTGTGATTCTTTAGTATGATGATATTTAAAATAAAGAAGGAAAAGAAAGAGAGAGAAGTAAATATATTGAGTTGCTTTGAAAATTAATAATCATTTATTTTTATATATAATATTTGTAAAAATAATCCAAGTATATATATGTAACATAATAAATGAAACGTTAATGAATAAAAATAATGCATCTTTAGTATAATGATATTTAAAAAAAGAGAGAAATAAATATATTGAGTTGTTGAAAATTAATAATCATTTATTTTTACATACACAATATGTGTAAAAATAATCCAAGTATATATATGTAAAATAATAAATGAAACGTTAATGAATGAAAATAATGCATCTTTAGTATAATGATATTTAAAAAAAAAGAGAAATAAATTTATTGTGTTGCTTTGAAAATTAATAATCATTTATTTTTACATACACAATATGTGTAAAAATAATCCAAGTATATATATGTAACATAATAAATGAAACGCGTTAATGAATGAAAATAATGTATCGTGTTTTATTTAACGAAGGTTCTAATTATTCCAAATTTTTATAATATCTTATTATATAAATAATAAAAAAGAAAAATGAAAAACCGCAATGAGATGAGATGAAAACTCGCTTTCGTTTGTTTAACAAAAGTCAATGGATGCTATTATATTAATCAATTGAATTCGTTGAGCGTCAATCAATATTATAATTCATATTACATTCACAAATACTTATTTGTCAAACGGACGTTGTTGTTCGTGATTGATTGTACGGCAAACTATGCTTTCCCCCCCCCTCTTCCCTCCTTTCTCCTCCCCATCCCTTTCCCCCAAAACCCCATATCGGTTTTAATATCGATCAAAACGAATAATCGAAATTACACGTTGGCATCGTCATTTCATTACACGATTATAATAGGATTGTTCGACATAACCATTAAAATATCATAATATTATATAGATTTCATTTATTTTTTACCTCATAACACACATAATAATATAATCATCCTACTCGATCATTTTCAATGAATAATTTTCCCATCCACAAACATTCTATAAATTTAATATTACATTTTTACCCCCTTACCCTCCCCCTCTACCTGCACCAACCCCTTCCCAGACCCTTTTTCATTTCCTTTATTTCTTTTTGCATTTTTCTTTTGTTATCGTAAGGTTGAATAAGGAATCAAAAAAAATGTAATTGAATACCGTATATATATATATATATATATATATATATATATATATATATATGGAAGATTTTTCATATTAAAAATTACATGGAATATTTCCAATATATATATGTATATGTATATTATAGATTAATTCTTGTTTATATTAGAAAATTTATATTAATAAGATGAGGGAATCGTCCAACGATTTATATAACGTGTTTTATTCTGATAAAAATTTTATCCAATATATATATGTATATTTTATTTTAATTTTATTGAGAATATATTTTTAATCGTACGCGTGTCTCATAATACGCAAAACGTTACGAGTTTTTAACACAAATGAATATTTATTATTTTTATTCCTATAGATTTATATTTTTCAATATTATTAATAGAATATAATTATTATTTATTAAAATAATTTTTGTGTGTTTGACAATTTAAATATTATTATTGTTTTAATTAATAAATTTTGTTACAGTGTTGATTAGATTAATTTTTGTTCATTTTTGTTTTTATATATATATAATAGGATTATTTTTCTAGTAGGAATAATAATTAAAAGTAATAACCACTTGTAAAAGTATACAAAAAACTTAATAGTAGATATCGTTACTCATCGAAATTTCTCACTTAAAATGGCGCGAACAGAAAAGATATTAAATTTCTGATCCATCCTGAATACCCTTGTTGAACTTAAAGCATCAGCCCCGTTAAATCCATGCTCGTTCTTCATTGGCCGAAGTTCGTTAATACACCGCGTCATGATCAAAATCCTCAATTTCACGTCTACCAATAACGAAGAATAAAAAGTAAAAGTAAAAGACAAAATTCTTAGAAGGAAAACAAAGAGATATAAAATCTTTATAAATAATATATAAAATAATATATATATCTATTTGTATTAGTCAGAAACAGGTTAACCAAAAATATTATGCACAGATTAGTGCTGAATTTAATTAAAATTAACAAAATTCCTAATCCTACTGCTTTTCATTACCTACTTCATTTATAAAATTAAATCTTACATGTTATCAACTAACAACTTTCTAACTTACTCATTTGTTAAAAACCTGAATATAACCTAAAATTCTACATTTTTATACTGCCTATAACGTTATCGTTTTTATTCGTAAATAATAGTTTCATTGTATTGAATAATTTACTATAATATGAATTAACATATACTTTAGCCACAGCAATGTGTGACCGGGTCTACTAGTATATATATAAAATAATATATATAATAATAATAATAAAGTATAATATATATAATTAAGTTGCTGAAGAAGTCCCAATAAAGGGACGAAACGTTCAACTTAGTTAAATTGAGTTCTACTTCTTTTTATGTCCAAGTTCCCTGTGATTCCGTATTATGAATAATAATAATAATATAATATATACATACAATATAATATATATATATATATATGTATAAAAGTAGGTATTATTAATATAAACGGGATAAATTTGCTGGTTATGCGAATTCAAGAGGAATACAGATACACATATATACATACATACATACATATAATCAGACAGATAGACAGATAGAGAGAAAGCATCGTTGAAAATACATTCGGACATACTAACTTCGCGTAGCAAGCAAAATGCTATGGTCGATTAAGGCAAGTGCCCATCCACGGTGTCGTTAGTCGAAAACAAACGTTCGTTCTGTGTTCATGTATTCGACTCTAAGTAATATTTAGAATAGAAATGGTAAGGGGATAAGTTAGATGGTAGTAGGGGGAGGGGGAAGAGGGATTAGAAATGGGATACATAGAAACGTTAATTGAAATGTTAAAGTATATTCGTTTGTATAAAGAGAAAATGATTTAATTGACGTTTTAATATTATTGTTAATAAATTCTACTTTAAAAACAAATTACATTACACACACATACATATATATATAATAAAAATAAAAAGTTATTTTGAGTAAGATGTGTTTAATATTAATTTAAAATTAAAGTTTGAATTATTGACGACTAAATTTGGGAACACCCAGTATATATATAATATATATTTTAATATCTTTTGGTTTATGTATTATATATTATAATTTGTTGAATGCCATAGGTGTCACCGGTGACCGTCAATAAATTTGATATTTCGTTAATCTTTGTCAAATATTGATTAAAAAAAAATAATGCATTTAAATGCAACGCGGTGGTCACCGGTACCTACTGAATAAAATGAACGCATTTCACACGATTAAAAAAAAAACACTTTTAATTTATATCTCTTAAAACAAAATAATATATATATAGATTTTAATTATAATTATATAATTATAAAATAATCGCTAATAAATTTCGCAACGTGTTAAATGAAGTGTTATTCGATAAATAAATATTCAAATGCATGATGAGAAACAAAAATAATATTTAAAAGTTTCAAGTCATTTTTCAACAAAATTATTTTTCCATCAAAAATGTTATATGCGAACCAAAATAATGCGGATGCTAGAAATTAATCGATAAAGAAAGAAAAAAAAAGAAACGAAGAGTGAGAGTTGGTTGGTAGGAATGGGGGGGGGGGGGTAGAGGGGATGGACATCTCTTTGAGAAATAATAAAAAAAAAAAAAGGAAAGAAAGAAAGAAAGAAAAAAAAAAGATAAAACGAGGTCTCAATTAATCGAGACTACCTTGGAAAAGAATCTCGTAACATCGATAAAAGTCTAAGGACAAGAAGGAAGACTTAAGTGAGAAAGAAAAAAAAAGAAAAAAAAAAAAGAAATGGCTATCGGAGTCTTCTTCCCCTAGCTAGTACTATTTCTCTCGTTTCTTTCTTACCGTCTACTTTTCCTACAAAACTTTGTGAAAGGTTCCCGATGTAATCATAATTTATGCACTTTCAAATCTTCGGCTACTACTTTTATTCTCTTAAGATTTTTAAATCATATATCGTTAGTCGAAAATCCCC